GGGATCAACGCAGGCAGTGAGAGGAGGGGTGGGGGTGACCCCCCAGCCCACCCTGCACCCCAAGGCCAGATACAGCTCTGAAGTGGAAACCCTTTGGTGACACTTGCAGAGTTTTTCATTGAGGTCTTCACAGCTTCATTAATTTATCAGTCAGATTCTTGTTTTGGTTAACCTGAGGCAAAAATTCACATTTCATTAAAAGAGATAGGAGGAGAAATGCTCGGGAGGCAGAGTTCCACCCAGCCCTGGCTGAATGCAGATCAGTGGTATGAGCCACACTCAGCCCAAGAGCACCTGGTCCGTGTCCTCATCTGTCCTCACCTGGCCACTGACTTGTCACGGGGCTCCCTCACCTCTTGGTTTCGCTGTGTCCACCCAGACTCAGCTGGGACCCAGTCACCTGCTGTGCCTCCTCTTGCTCGCTCTTGGAGACTCCCCACTCTCTGGACACTCCTTGAACACGGAAGGGAACAGAAGTTATAAATGCAGAAGGGGAAGAAATGAGGGCAGGGAATGAGGTGAGACCCAGTGGGAGAAGAGCAGCTCCCAACGTCCACGTTCTCTGTCCCACAGGTTGGGCTGCCCTGCACGCCTCAGCCATCCCTGCTCCTGCTCTAGGACAGGATGGACTTTCTCAGGATCACCTCTGCTTCTCCAACACGGCTGGCACTGTCCCCCTCCAGCAGTGGCACCGGGGAGTTCATTCCCATCATTTGGTCACTGCAGAAACAGCAGTGAGGGACAAGTCTCAGCAGGGACAGTGTGGACACACAACACAAGGGATTACAGCCGGAAGGGAAAATGCTACAATCAGAAGGTTAGAAATGTGCTTCAAAACAAGATAAAATTGGCACCTCTGGAATAGTGATGGGAGAATTTAAATAAGTTTGGTGTGTACCAGCACTCCCTGAGTCCTCTCCCACAGTGTTGAGAGGGCTCAGCCCACTGTCACCCCTGAGTGACACAGGAGGGTGGGGACAAGGATGAAAACACAGGGATATCTGCAGGCAGGAGAGTGAATTTACTCATCTTGTGAAAAGATGGCAACCCTAGGGCCGACAGGGCTGCAGGCTGCTTCGACAAGCAGGATTATGGACTTGCATTGGTTCCATCCCCTCTGCATCCCTCTGCACACCTCAGAAAATCCCTGCCCTTGCTTCCCTCCAGCAATCCTGGCTCTCTGTGCTTGTGAGGTCAAGGCGTGACCTCACCAGAGAAACTCCGCTGACTCCTTCCACTCACGTTAATCATTCACCCGTTCCAAGCCCTTGGAGCTGGACCAGCACTCGCGGCGCTCTCCTCCCACAAAAGAGGAACGTGTCCCGACGGCTCCTGCGACGAGCAGGCCGGGAGCACGTCAGCTCCTGCCGCCGGCACTCTGGGCTTTGAGGCATCACCACCAACCTGAGTCACTGCCACACCTGGCTGCGGTGAGAGGTGGCTGAGGAGGGCACGGCACCGACCTAACCCACTTCAGCACTTTAAACCAACTAAATCATTTTGTGGGAGTTTATCCCGTTTTAAGCATTTAACAGCCTGACATGGAGAGCAGCGTGGGCTTGGGCTTTCTGTGTAGTGCTTGTAAGCATTTGGAAAATTATCTTCTGTGTACTAAATACCTGAGTCATCCTGGGAGAGCGCTGCATCCACTTTTAGATGTTACCATGTGCTGTCCTCAGCCACAGGTTATGAGTAAAGGGTCACTTAAACCATCAGGGAAACAGCTCACGATGCTGACTCTTCCTCTTCTCTCTCCGGGCTTTGGAAACTTCAGTGGAAACCAAAAGGAGGTTTCATCTGCTTAACTTCAATTAGCTGAAAAGATGAAATATCTCATGATCAGCTTGAGGGTGGTTTGGGAGGGCTTGCCTTGGTCCAGGTGTCAGGTGGTGGAAGCAGATGTGAGAGGACCTGGGGCTGGCACCATGCAGTGCTCATCCAGGCTTTTCCAGCAAAGCCTGTTTCCTGGAGGCTGAGCAGGACTCACGTGCTGGGGTGTTTGGCCACTGTTATAAAGGTCAATATTTACCAGAACCTTCCCAGTCATCCTGTCTGTGAGAAAACTTCCTGGCGCAGAAATTCCAGCTAACTCAGCAATGAGGGGACTTAGGTCAGGGAGAGACCTTGGGAGAGGCTCCAAACCACCTCAGCATCAGGAGACACCCAGTGGGATGAAGCTCAGTCCCTGAATGTCACTTACTCCATGGCCACTCTGCTTCCACCTCTGCCAGCACCCGGTCAGATCCAGACCCCCACAGAGCCCCCGGCCATGAGGCATTGCCAGAACAACCACAGCTCATCCAGGAGTCCAGGGACCAGAGCTGGCTACCTGTGTAGCTGCTGGAAGCCTTCAGCCCACACCCCAGGTTTTACCTTGCTGGTGAGAAGGGCAGCAAGCTCCAAGGACCACATGAAGTGTCCCAGGACCCTGAGCTCAGCGACCAGGCCCCATAGGGACTTCCACCTCAGCACTGAGGTCTTCTATCACAAAAAAATACACAGAAAAGGCACCTCTTTCTCTTCAAAAGTCACTCAACTAAAACAGGATCTAAGATAATGATTATCAGCTTCTTGCCAGTAATATTCGCATTTTCCCTCCCCCTCAACTTCCGCATATTTGAAGAAGCCACGGTGGTGTGGATGAAGAACAGGAGGTGGTTTCTGCACTTACAACCCTCCATTCTTGTTCCATTTCAGACTAAGGACACTGAATCCTTTGTGCTGAGTCAGGACTAACTGCAATGCAGCAGGATGGGAATCCTTCAAGGAGCTGCAGCCAACGCTGGAGGCTCTGGCTGCTCCTGCCTTCAATCCATCAGCTCTGGGTGTCCTGCCTTGCACTCTGCCTCAGAGCAAACTGCTGCAGCTGTGCTTCAACTCTCACAGTGCTCCAAAGGAAGTCCCCTTCATCTTCTGCCCCAGCTGCTCTTGGACTGTGTCAGCGGCACTTCTCTCCTGCCAAGGGACTTGGAGTAAGTGACATTCAGGGACTGAGCTTCATCCCACTAGGATAAAGCAACTCAGAAGAGCAGAGATCAGATGTGGTGATAACTGAGCATTGGGAAACCCTGTGATGCTCCATGGCAGGATTTCAAGGCCAGGCTTGAGGAAGCTTCAAGGATTGAGGGGATTGCCAGAATCAGCCCTGGCTCAACACAGAGGTGCAAGTGAAAGGTCTCCTGTGCTGCTTTTCAGCCATTTGCTTCTTTGTCCCTGGTGAACTGACCCAGGGCAACATCAAGATCACTGAGCTGCTTCCCAGAGCCCAAAATTGGGATGAGATAGTTGCAAGACTGGGATCCCCAGTTCAAGTCCATGGTGCCAGGCAGGTGTGAGGAGACATCCAGGGACTACAGAGCTATGGAGCATCAGAAAGGCAAAAATTGTCCCCTGAGATCATCCCTGTTCATCCAGATTGCCATGGATAAAATTGTCACTGCAGCAGGAAAAGCCTGGGATGTGTCTGTGGGCAGCAAGGGGATGTTTAAATCCCCTCCTGTACTTAGTTATTCAGCTTCCCCACCAGTTTCCTCACATGGGGGAAGTGTGGGGGCACTTCCACATAGCACACGCTTCAGAGAGCTTTAAATAGCTCCAAGTTGGGGGAAAATATTCCTCTTTTGAACCACAAACTATTCCTGGCAACTCCTTAGTTAAAAAAGAGCTATAAGGAGTCCAACTCATTCAAGGCAAACGTAGCTCTGCCGTCATCATTGTTACAGGCTGGAAAATACCCGAGGGGGTCACTCTTGTTGACTTCCCTAAGCAACATCTGCTTAAAAAACCCTTCTGCAGTCAGCACAAGTGTCCCAAGCCTGGTCCTTGGCTGACTGAGCAACTCTTCACTTGCTGCAGTATCTGGTTGGGTCTGTGAACAAACCTGGGGCTCAGAGGGGACATGGTTGGGTTGAGCCAAGAGACCTGAGCTTCACCCTGGCCACAAATCCCAGTGCAGACAGACTGCATCCCACTGGCATGTGGCCTTACCATGGCTCACAGGGGCTGTGGGGTGGCTGGTATTGTGTGATCACCAAATCACAGAATGGTTTGGGCTGGAAGGGACCTTAAAGTTCATCTCATTCCAACCCTATGCCATGAGCAGGGATGCCAGCATGGTGAGAAGTATGTGCAAAAAGCAGGCAAGGGTAAGCAGGGTCAGATATGACAGTCTGGGACTCCCAACATCACCTCCAAATGAGACTAGGAAAGGACAATGGTGACAGAATTATATAATAAAATAACTTTGGTTTCTTTCTTTATAAAACAACTTTCACAAAAGGTATAAAAACAGGTAGTTAAGAAATACATTTCAAGCTGGGTGTACCAGTGACTTTGGGGCATCTTAACCCACCCTGTGTCTCAGCAGCAAACTGCCTTCTCAAACAAAAGCGTGACAAACAAATGCAAGTGAATCCTCTGTGGAAAATACCATTACATAACTAAACCCTCCAACAAAACCAAACTTACACAGTTTAAAACAAAGCCAGACAGTTTTCTCTAAAGAGGACTGAGTTCTTCACAGAAATAATGACCCTGGGTGCAGGTTTCTCTTCTGATAAAATATTGACCCTTGTCAAGGGCTGGAAAATCAGCAGCCAACACCTGGAGAGCTCCCAGGAGCTGCACCGGTGTAGGGACACTGCCGTTCACACATCCCATCTCATCCCATCCCATTTCATCCCATCCCATCCCATCCCATCCCATCCCTCCGCTGCCATAGCACGGTGTCACTCCAACCCGTCACTCATCTCTCATACTGGTTTTCAAGTTATGCTTGGAAAGATGAATAAATTAATGAAGCCACAGAAGGAAAAAACCAAACCAAAAAGCACCCAAAAAGTCCAGTTCGTGCTCTCAGGGCAGCAGGAAGCGCTTGCGGACCTCCTCCTCAATGGAGTGGAGCTTGACAAGGCGCAGCGCGCCCAGCAGCTTCTTGGTGACCTCGTAGTGCTCCTCTTTCTTGTGAGTGAGGAAAGTCCGGAATTTCTCCTGGATGGCTGCCCTGGTCCATGGTTGCTGCTTCCTTGGTGAGCGCTCCAGGATCTGCTGGAGACGCTTCAGCTTCTTGACAGGGATGTTCTGATACACCACAAAGTCTATCATGGCTTGTTCACAGTCGTCATCCTCTGCAGCTGGTGGGGGGAAAATAGCTGGAGGTTAGAGGGAAGTGAGCCTGGGACACTGGAGAGCAGGACACAGCCCTGCCAAGCCTCTCCATGGGACATCTGCCCCAGGAGGTGGTGGATGCCCCATGCCTGGAAGTGTTCAAGGCCAGCTTGGACAGGGCTTGGAGCAACCTGTTCTAGTGGAGGGCTGAACTTCCCATCAGTGACCCATGGTACATGTAGCAGTTGGAAAACAATGTGTAAAAGTTCCTGTAATTCTGAAAAAAAGTAACTATACCTGTTCCAGGCTCCTCCCCGTTGGGGAGTAGAGGAAGAGGGAAAGTTCAGAAAAATCTGGAGTAATTGCAATAAGTGTTTACACATTATTTTTCCTGCAAGTTTCTGTTCTCCCAAGCAGATTTGTACACCTCGTGACAGGCAAGCCCCAAGCACAGCCCCAGTCAGGGCACTGGGACAGATCCGGCCCCAGCTTCTGGAAGCTGCTGGAGGACATCCAGCATAAGGAATGAAAACAAAGAATTTTCAAGAGACCAAGGCCAAAGGATTACTCAATCAAGGAGAGAGAGATTAACTCAGTTTCGTGCTGTTGCAAACTGGGAACGGTTTCACTGGTTGTAGTGGGGTGGGTTGGGCTCCGCTGCTCAGGCTGATGATGAGCAGGTCCCAGTGTGCCTACTGAGTGGAATCATGACAAACTAAAGTTAAAAATACCCTTCAACTCCCATTGCTGGGGCCTCCTCTCCTCTATAAATAGCTGTAAGGGGCCGGTCTGGCTGCAGGGCTGTTTCCTGATGCAAGTGCTGCTAATGCTGCCCTCACCTGACCACCCCCCACTCCCAGGACCGTGTCCTGCTGATGACAGAGCTTTCTATCTCTCTGCAGAGGGATCGTGCTCCTGGCAGGGAACTCATGGTGTGAGTCAGGATTTGTAAGGAGAAATGCCTGGGTTGGTGGTGCCAGGAGAGGATGGAAAGGCGAGAGCTGCTGGGGAAAACAGCTGTCACAGATCACCCCTGGAGCCAGCCCTCTGCTCTGCCCTGCACCTGTTCTTTTGGCAAGAAAGGTTGGATCAGATGATCCTTGAGGTCTCCTCCAACCCAGGGTTCTGGGATTCTCTGATCTGTGCCCACTGGCTGCTCCTGCCTGACCTTCCACCTCCACTGAGGCTCATCTGTACCATCACGGTGACACAGCTGGCGCCATGTCTCTACTTTTTCAGCTGACAAGTCAAAATCCACCCTATGCTCAGCTCTGATTAACCTTGGACTCTGCTACATTCAACCTGCACGAGACCAGTCCGTGGTGCAATAAAAGCTTCCGGAAAACGGGCTGAAGTCCAGGAAAAGGGAGCGCAGGATCCATGCCAGGAGCCAAGCTGGATGCCTCAGCTCTTCTCACTTTGGCTGTTTGCATGATCATCAGATATCAGTTATCAGCTACAGTCAAAAGGCTGCCAAAACTGTCCTCCTGTCCCAGCATTCCCAGTTGTTTCCTGGTAAGATCCAGCAGGATTTTACTGCCACCTCTTTGTTCTGAGTGGTGGCCATTGCTTAAGCCCAGCAACCTGTCTTTGCACTATGGGACTGACACTGGAGGAAGGCAGGCAGGCAGACAGACTGTATTCTACCTATAATTATTATTAATTGTGGATCACTCCATACTTTTACAAACCATTTCACTTCATTTTGCGTCTGAGTAGGAGAAAGTCACCAGAAAGTTTGCTCTTGCCCCGGCAGCATCGTGTTCCTGGCACCCCCTGTGCCCACAGAGCCGCAGCTCACCTGGTCCCTGTGTGGTGTTGCCTTTCCCCAGTCTGCAGGAGGTGCAGAGGGTGTCGTGGAACTGGTTGCCCTGAACGTTGGTCACCTTCCCCTGCTGCTCACAGTCCTGGTGTGGCTGGCACGGATCAGTGCTGGAGTTGGAGGAGAAGAAGCCGGGGGGGCACTCGTGGCACTTGGTGTCCTCAAAGGGGGTACCTGTGCAGAGAAAACAAGGGGACTGTCAGGTGACAAGCTGGGAGCAGAGGTAGGAGCTGATGCCAGACACCACTGGAGCGTAAGGGTGATGTTTTGGAAATTATCACTGCCTGTAACTCCCCTGGGCACTGCATGTTCTTGTGTGGGGCAAACAGCAATGCTTTCCCCAGCCTTCTCCCAGCCCGTGCCAGTAAATTGTCACCAGCCCCCTGACACAAGAGGACACCTCATCTGCTATGAAAAGGGCCACCTCCCAGGCAGGAACTGCAGCTGGGCCAGTGGGTGAGCTGCCAAACCAGCCCTTTGCTTCCCAGTGGAGCTGGAGGCTCCCGGCCAAGTGAAAGTAAAAGTCACTGAGGAAATGACAGCACATCGTCACTTCCCACCCCGGCTCCGGGCCAGCCCTGCCCGTGGTGTCACAGGGACAGTGCCACGCAGCCAGGATTGCACCAGGCACCTTGCACATTCCCTAGGAGCCCTGACACAGCAGATTTCACACCCCTTTCACCTTCTTTTCACAGATCTAGTTACAACACAATTTCTACCTTGCCACACCCCACTTTAGGCTGTTGCTTTGGCTTTCCCAAGAGAAGTCTGATCCTTCAGGTCCCTCCCAACCAAAATCATTCTATTCTAAGTCCCAGCCAGCCCAGTTATAACCCCAACACCTGAGCCACCACTTGTAAACGGGAAATCCCAAAGAAGCTGCTGTCCCCCAGAGGGATCAAAGCCCCCAGTCCACATCATCCCCATCAACACCATCACTGACAGCCCTGGGGTCCTTGCTGTGGGGTTCAGGTGGCTGGGCTGGGCTGGGATGCAGTCCTCCCCACACAAGAAGCCATTTGTAAAAACAAAATTATAATAACAACAAAAAAATGGCTTCTCCTCAAATGCTCAGCTTGCTCACACGGCTCCTCAGTCCTACAGCCAACCCTCCAGACAAATGTCATGTTTAATTTCAAAGAGCTTCCCTGTATTGCCTGGAGACCTACTTCCCCTTTCACTGTATTACTGCATTTTGTCATGTCCTACAGAAAAATAAACCCCAAACCTCAACCTTCAGCATCAGCTGAAAACAACAGGTATTTCTCCTCTGGCAGGTAAGCCTGGAGCTCTTCAACACCGTGGATGGAAGGACTTCAAAAGCCTCTGCACTTCAAAAGCCTCCACACTTCAAAGCATTAAGCAAAATACTGCTGGGTTTGCTGGTGCTGCCCACGCTGGTTTGTTTGTACCCAGCTGTGGTTTCCAGGCAGACCCTGGTCCTTGGTGGTTCAGGGGGGAGCAAGAAAAAGGGGAAAGAGGGAAAGCCTCTTGTATTTTCAGAAAGTTTGCACACATACACATAGAGCAACTAAGGGGCCAGAGAAATCTGTACTGAAGAAACAATGGGAAAATAAACCCCCTAAAATCTCTTGGGAGTTACATCACACAAGGAGATGGAGTGTCAGACTCATGAATCGAAACAAGGCTGATTTTATGGGTTTGGAACCTGGCCATGTATCCACTGTGTATTTTCAACACCAATTGTTCTCCTAATTGCTCAGTAAAAACCCACAAAACTCAGCCCCAGGGCTACACACATCCACCAGCCCTGCCCTTGCATCATCAGTCACCTTTTTCAGTCCAGAAAATCAGCATTCCCAGCTCCTGGGCTACCTGATGCAGGAAGAAAGGAACTCTTGGAGGAGCAGGAGCAACTTGGACCTTCCCACCTGTCCAGAGCAATACAGGGCCAGCAGCTGCTCCGGGGATGGGCAAGTCACAGCCTGGCTCTGACTGTTGTAGCAGGTGAGGGAGGCAACTGGGATTGCCATGTCCCACCTAAGTGTGGTGCTGGGGATTTCACAGGCTTTCAAAGTGAAAGCTGGGGGAAACCCAACCAAATTCCTCCTTGGAAAAAAAAAGTAGGAGCAGTTTCACATGCCAGCGAGGATGGCAGTGTGATAGTGAGCTAAAAGGGAGTAGGTCAGGCTATGCAAGCATTGGTTGCTGTATTTCTCCTTGATTTTTAGCTCCAGTGGGGATTTTGGGATGTGACAAGAGCCTTGTGAGCGTGCACAGCGCCGCCTGTCTGGGTATTTACCTGGTTTCTCCACGCCGGAGCCCGGCGGGCACTCGGAGTGCCTGATGCAGAGCTCCATGTCCGAGTAGTATCCCTCCTGGCACTGACAGACGCGGTTGTGCGTGGCATCGCACTGCTGCACCTCCACCTGCTTCTCGCCGCAGATCACGTTGCAGTACCGGCACTTCTCCAGGTAGTTCCAGTACTGCGTGTAGTGCAGCTCCGGGCAGGGATCGCACCTGGTCGGGCTGTCCCTGCTGCAGTGCCGTGACACGAAGGTCCCCGGCGGGCACTGCTGGCATGTGAGCCTCTCGCTCGTCACGGGGTCCTTCCATGGGTACGTGGGTTGGGCGTTGCAGCCGAGCTCAGCCAGGAACAGGAGGAGAGGGGGAAACATCCACTACGGCAAAGACAGCGCAAAGAGCCCTGAGCTCCTCCTCTGGCAGAGGCGGGAGCAGCAAACGCGGCTGCTGCTGTTACAGAACTTGTTATTGTTGTAGGTACAAGAAATCATCCTCCCTCCCTACGCTGTCCCCAGCCCCAGGGGTAAAGCATCGGTGGTATCGGGGAGGAGCTGCTGCCCCCTGTGCCTCCCCATCGCCTTCCCTTGCCATCCCAGGTGACAGAGCATCCTTCCCAAATCCATTTGTGATGCCTTCATAACCCCGTTTCCCTCTTTCAGAACTCAAAGCAGGTCCAGTACATTCCCCTCTGTCACCCCAGTCAGTTCCCCCTGTCTGGAGTAAGAAAGACCTTGGCAGATCAAGAAGCAGAAGGGAAGTTTTCCAAACCAGCAAATACATAGCATGCTCCATAGGAACTCAAAGACTTTTTTTGGAAACCCAGTTGCTCAGGATAGTACTGGAGAATCCCAGGGCTTGTTTATCCCCCCTTTCCTTTTTCAAAGCACGTGTGCCCAACCTGACGAGCAGACCGCACTTTACCTTGGATGGATGCCTCAAACTCGGCGTGTGGCAGGATGGCATCACAGCGTGGGGCTTCTGAGCGCCGGGATCAGAAACCTGAGGAGACAGAGAAGGTTTCTCAGGGGCTGGTGCTGGCTGGGCTGGAGCTCCTCTTGGCGGCAGCGGGGTCAATCCAGCCGGCCAGCAATAAAGCAGAAAGAGGGAGAATGGGAAGGGCAGATAGTAAAGGGCTGTTGGGAAGGACTGCGTTTCCTTGCCTGCTTTCCTCCGAGTCAGCCCTGCCTCCGAGGGAGATGCCGGCTCTTCCCAGCCCAGGGACGGAGCAGAGCCTTATAGCGGCTGCGGGTGGGAGGCTCTGGCCGCACACCCACGCAGAGCCCGACACGCGTAATCGCCTGGGGTGGGGGAAAGTCACCCCCAGCCCATCGCAGCCGAGGGGGAGCAGAAGCGGGTGAAGTGGTGGGACAGCAGCCAGGGTCTCCCTTCCCTCCCCTTCCCTCCCTCGTGTTGAGAGACCCCTCTTGCGCAAGCGACTGCTCCATCCCGGCCCCCCACCTCTCCCGCCCCCCGCGGCTCCACGCCGGCTCCCGAAGCCTTCCCGGACCCCCGTTGCGGCGGCACCGACTCCGCTTTCCCGTCCCGGCGCTCCCCCTTTTCCTGAGCGCCGCTTTCGCTCTCGTTTCTGCGTTTGCCTCTGAGAGTGAAGCTTTCGGGGCGATAACGTGCGTTTGCCTGTGGGGGGGAAGGAGGCAGGTGGGATTCGCACAGTTCTTCAGAGCTCTCTAGGTTTTACAGGGTGTCGGTGCGGAATTGTTCTCTGGCACGGGAAAGGCAGGGAGATTACCCCGCGAGCGCCTCGTTCACCGGCTGTAAACGCCAAATAACTTCCCAGTAACAGCAGATGCCTCTGGCTGTCAGGGCACAGTTTGCCCCCCAAAGGCAGCCCAGAGGGGCCGATCCTGGCCCTGGCTGGAGGCAGTGGAACCGGTGCTGTGGGGATCATCCCCCCGGCTCTGCCAGGGGCTCTGGAGCGAGACCCCATCCCAGTACCTCACCCTCCGAGGTCACCGACCCTGCCAAAACAGCCCCGATCTAAGTGCTTAGGCACTGCATTCCTAAAGCCGGATCAGAGCTTCAGCTCTGTCCTTCCGGGAGCACCGAGGATGACGCTGTGTCCAGCTGTAACACTGAACACTCACAGGTACCTTTTGTGGGACCACAACATCCAGCAGGGGTCAGCACTTAAATCCCTTACAGGTGACACTGCCATAAGTCTTGGACCTCAAGGATTTCAGTGGAAACTGAACTCAGCCTTGCAGGTACAGTGCTGGGCAGAGCACGTACTGCTGCCTGCTCACCCTGCACTGCCACTGCTTCAACACACGGGACTC